TCCCCCAGCCCCCAACGACTTCCTGAAGAAGATGGACGACTTCTGGCTGCTCAAGGAGCTGCAGACCTGGCTCTGGCGCTCGGCCAAGGACTTCAACCGCCTCAAGAAGAAGGTGCCGCCCGCCGTGGTCACCCTGAGGCTGGAGGCCAGGGGGTTCTGAGCACCCCGCCTGTGCCCCCGCCCGCCTCGTGCCGGTGGGATGCAGATGGGGCTCCTCACCCAGGTGCCCTCTCCACCACCAGTGTGCCTTGAGCAGCAGGGCTCCTGACCCCAAAGTGCCACCAAAGCCACCCCACAGCCCCTCTGTCACCACAATGTGCTGTAAGGGATGAGTCTCCTGACCCCAAGTGCCACCAAAGCCACCCCATGTTCCCTTTCCACCACCAGTGTGCCTTGAGAAATGGGGCTTTTGACACCGAAGTGCCACCAAACCCACCCCACATCCACTCTGTCACCACACTGTGTCTTAAGGGCAGGTCTCCTGATCCCAAAGCATCACCGAAGCCACCCCGCAGCCCCTCCCTCATCATACTGCGTCTTAAAGGGGCAGGGCTCCTTACCCCAAGTGCCACCACAGCCATGCCATGTCCCCTCTCCACCACCAGTGTGCCTTGAGAGATCCCAAAGAGCCACCTCACAGCCCCTCTGTCACCACACTGTGCCTTAAGGGATGGGTCCCCTGACCCCCAAGTGCCCCCCCAGGGTGTCCCCACCCCTCCGGGGTGCCCCATCCCTCCACCCCAAGAGACCCACGTGGGTACAAGCCCCGCCCACCTCGAAAAGGACCAAGCCCCTCTGAGCATAGGAATAAGCCCCGCCCCATCCAGCAGCAAGCCCCGCCCCTGGAGCAATAGGCTCCACCCCTGGATGGCAATAAGCCCCGCCCACTAGTCTGTGTAGCCAGCCCCGCCTCCTCCCCGCAACAGGCCACGCCCCATTTTAACCAAGCCCCGCCTCCCAGTGTCCATCAATGCAGAGCTGGGGGCGTGGCCTGGATCCAGGGGCGGGGCCGCTGTCCTGGTGCGTCTATGAGTGTTTATTTATTGGAGATGTTTTATTTATTGGGGTATTTATTGCAGAAGATCTATTCTTGTATGAACGAATAAAAGCCTTTCTCCAGCGCCCCCGCCCCGCCCGCACCGCACCCCAAGGGGGGGCCATCAGCAGGGATGGGGGTGAACAGATCCAGACCTGAGCTCAGAGGGGAATGAGGGTGTTCCCCCCTGTGCCGTCAGCAGGGACCGGGGTGAACTGCTCCAGGCTCCGAGCTCAGTAGGGACCAGAGAGAGCAGCTCCTCACCGAGCTCAGTGTGGCGGTCAGGCTGTTCCCCTCTGGAAGGGGTTACTGGGGTAGGGATCCAGTCCCCTCCCAGGCCCAGGTTACCCCACCCCAAGCACATCCACCCCCTCCCTGGGCGCTACTTGGGTGTCCCCACGATGACATAGAAGGTTCCGGGCTGTGTGACGAAGCCGATGGCGCCCAGGGCTCTG